TATAGAGTTAGGTTTAAATGTTTTTGACAACTATTGTGTGACTGAATGCACCAATAGGAATTGAGGAATAATTAAATAATTAAAAAAATTGAATAAGGGTAATTATGTAACTTTAGAATGATAATTAAAATAAAATCCCTTAATTAATGGGAATTACCATAAAAATCTCTTTGACCAACTACTTAACCGTAGCCTTAAATCTAACTCATCATCGTTTCTAATCCACGTCTTCTGCTTCTTCTTTTACAATCAATCATCAAGATTCAAAACTCATTACCAGGTAATTATCCTTCTCCAATCAATTATTAAGATTTTCTTTCTTTTCATAAACTCATTTTTTTTTCTTTAATCGATCAATCATCATCGGTGATGATGGTGGTGGAGGCAACTTGTCACAAGAATTGATGGAAAACGCGTGTAGCCTCTTCCTTGTCTCCTCCGCTACTTATAAAATGGTTCGATTATGTCTCACGATTGGCTTCTTCTACTGCTCCGCTTCTTCACAAGACTAAACCATTGTAACTGAAGATGAAAAGGGCGTCGCCACCAAATAATTTCAATCCCAGGTACTTTTAATTTTTTTTAGGCTAGTAATTCAAATTGACATCTGATACTGGTGCACATAATCTCAAAAGTACTTAACTTTTGATTGTGAATTATGTTTTCCAGATTTCAAAACCCAATTTTGATTGCCAAAATTGGTAAGACTATCACTAATTTTTTTGAAGAAACTGAAGAAGCACACCACGTGTTTGATAAAATGTCTCAATGAAAAAAATAGTTAAAAATCATTAATGTTTTTACTTCACTTTGTTCCTTATTCTTTTCAGAACTATATAACTCAATTTAGATTGGGTTGGATGCCATTTTCATAACAATAGGTTGATGCTAGTTCCTTATTCTGTCAGAATTTATAGTTTTAATACATTGAACATATCGAGAAGAAACACATGGAACCCGAAGAATGTTAGTTCCTTATTCTATCAGAATAGGTTGATGCTAGTTCCTTATTTTGTTTGTTGGATATATTCTTGATAATACAAATTCTTAAATAATATTCTTGCAGAATAGTTTATTTTGTAAGAATATTATTTGTTGTATTCTGATAGAATTGTAGTTAATTATTTGTATGTTTAATGTGCAGGTTTTACAAGTGTATCACTACAAATTACTTGGCAATGAATTTCTGGTAGAAAAGGCTTCAAGAATGGCTTGAAGACCTGATGGGAAAGGGTTGAAGAATGAATTAAAGAATGATCACACTCATTTTTTAAGAATGTTGTTATTTTTTAAGAATTATACTTGTTTATTCTTTCAGAATGTTTGTTATTATTCAATGAATCACAATCATACAATGTAATTTTTTGATATATTATTAGTTCAAGAATCGATTTTGTGTATTCTTTCAGAATGTATTTACTAGTTTATGTTTGGCATTCTGCCATTTTGACAAAATAAAATCGAAAAATACATTCACTAGTTTATGGTTGACACTTTATTATTCTGATAGAATAAAATCGGATTTTTAAATTTGAATTAATTTAAAATATTCAGATTTTTAAAAAATAAAGGAATTAATCATCCCCAAAAATCCGAAAATTTCCTTTTTTAATATAGGTTAATTGACTAAAATGCCCTTATGCTGAAATTTGTTTGATTATATGGTACATGCTATCCTATTCTACTATCATAGACCCTCAAATCATGACATTTGATTATATTCCATCCGATGGTCCAGATCTGTGCATTCTGGCACACAATAGTTAGTAAAAACAAAACAACCTAACCCTATATATATATATATATATATATATATATATATATATATATATATATATATATATATATATATATATATATATATATATATATATATATATATATATATATATATATATATAAAGACAAAAATGTACTCTTTAAGACAAAAAAAAAAAGTGAAAAAACCATTATTAAACAAACTACTAAAGGATATTTGGGTCTATGATTCACATTTATATCTTTTTCATAGATTTACATTCCAAGCAAACAAATAGAGGGCGGTTTCATTTCATGTCAACAATACACATGATAGATTCAATTTCTTAAAAAAGATTTCACTCATATCTAAAACATTTTATGAAACATTGAAACCAAACACCTAAACGGTTTTTTCGTTTTTCTATAAGTGTGATAAAATATTTATAGCTTAGATATGCACAAAAAGATAGGATTAGCATATACAATACAATGGCTGAAAATAATGAGTAAAGAACACATTTTATAAACAATATCTATGAACTAACTACAATTGGGGAGAAATTTTTTTTTGGTCGGATGTAGTAGCTTCAACTTTGGCTAGGGTACGTTTATGTTCATTTTTGTTTGTTTATTTTCATATATGTTTGTTTAATTTCGTTCTTGCATGTGTGTTTAACATCTTAATGAATACGAAAAATGTAATTTGTTAAACGAACAAACTTGAACAAGAAAATCCGTTTGTTTAACCGTTGGTGTTTTTTTTTTTTTTTTTTTTTTGTTCCGTGAACTTAAACGATCAAAACATGAAGAATGTTCTTGTTGTTTCAGCAGCCTAAGAGTATGCATATTCATGCAGTGAGCAATTCAGGCTTTACCAAATTCTCTCAGCTTTTGCTAGCAGTTGAAACAGAGTCTTCATATATGTACAAGTTGTGGAAGATAATGTGTTGTTTTGACAGGAACAGTGAGGCATTTTTCAAGTAGGAACATTTAGAACATGGAATACAAGAATCCATGATTTAGGGTATCTGAGATATTGGATACGAATTCAGTTACCCAAAGTCCTGGATACATATTCAAATAGTAACCTTCCAAATTTCTTAGAATATCCGGATCAAATGAAATCCCCAATATATAATTTTATTTTTCAGTTGTTTTGTTAGTTACGTTTTCTTTCCAGAGGCACAAATCAGAAAACGGAGTTAAGTAACAGCTAAAATGGATTGTATTCAAATGTCAATATTCACTTTATTTACTTATAACTGAATTATTACATAACTGTATGATCATAAAATTGCTTTATTTATTTATTTATTTTTATTTTTTTGGGGGGGAGGGGGGGAAGGTCATTAAGAATCTAGCAAAGAAGGTAGAAAGAACAAATTATTACATAGTAGAAAACAGGTAAAGCAGAGTTTTGGAACTGCTTATTCTACTCCTGTTGTTACAAACTTCATTGAAGCATGTGCTCAAAAACATAATAAGGGATTTAATGGCATATATTAAAAAGAATTATGGTATATATTACAAGCCACAAGGCAATAATGCAACATATGTGATTATTCTTGAAGAACAAAGGAACCTTCTATCCGCTTACCTATAGAAAGAGGAGGGAAATTTAATGGAGATAACATATCAACAGAAGCAGAAGCAGAAGTAGATGCAGATGCAGGTCCAGGTGCAGCCTTGAATTCATAAGGACCATTCTTCACTCCCCAAACCTGTAATTATTGAAAAATCACTTCAAATTTCACCTTCCTACTTCTATTATTATATTGAAAAAAATATCATTATATATAATTAATTTTGTTCAAACTAACTTGGTTTCCATCATCATCATATCCCCTATCCCACATATGAACCTCATTGTTCTTCAAGACTGCCAGTTCTGATGTACAATATGCTGCCCCATTCTGCAAGGAAATACAAATATTAAATAGTATTTAAGAGTAAATTACATAAATGGTCCCTGTGGTATACAGAAATAGGCAACTTCATCCCAAATTATTTTTTTTTCCGTTACCCATGAATTGGGGAAGCCGTCAGGAGGTGTTGAACCCTCGTACAAACACCGTTTCCCTCGTTCACAACGCTTGAGATATATGGTGGTAAGATGTTCTGCTACATCCTACAAGTTTTTTAAGTAAAGAAGTAAATAAATAAAACTTTTTGGCTGTTATTGCAGAAATTAAAAAATAAATAAATAAATAAAAATGACAAATATTTGTGAAGTGAATCTTACCCCAATTACTTCTTCAGGCTGTGGACGTTGGTCCCTTGGGCGATCACAAAAGTTCTTGTACTCCTCTGCGTCGCGTATGGCATATGTACTCAACTGTGCACCAACCACCCCCATTAAGTTTTAACTTTTCTAAATTCCCTTTTATGTCATTTTATATCTTCTACCTAGTTTATCAATTACTTTTTACCAAACCTCATTTTTTGTTGGCTACCTTATAATAAGCTAGAAGCTAGCTTTTCAGCTAGTATGCCAAACATAACCTTAATGGGGAAAAGAAAAGGGAACATGATCTAACGCATGGGAATTTGCTGAAATTAGCACCATGTTAACCTTTTCTTTACATTCTTTTCCACTTTGCTAAAAAGAAAAGTTTTCTAGTTATTTTAGAAAGAAAGAAAAACACACACACCTCAACATCACATTTCATCTCCTTTGGGCAAGGTTTGACCATACAAAATCTCTGCAATGAGGAAGCTGTTAGAAATAATCAACAAATAAATGTACAAGACAACAATGCTAACATGAACAGAGAACAGAAATGTACCTGTCTAAATGGCTTATGGGGAGTTCTCCAAAATGCCTGAGAAGAGTAAATGGAAACACTTCAATTTTGCATAACAGTAGAAAGTGAGAAATTGGGAAAATACATATGGTGTAGCCAGTATACTAACTTGCTCGAAATATAGAACCTTCGATCCATCCACCATATCTGCAGCTGGGCAGGAAAGCCATCTACAAAGTCCAACAAAGAATTCGAACTTATCAACAAAGTTTGAGTCTTTCTCAGTTCAAATTTACAACTAATTTGAGTTGTTACTAATTCAATGACCAAAATTTGGATTTATTATTCAGCCTGGTAGCTTTTGAAGATGCATATCAAGCCTAGCACAATGGAACCCCAAACACCACTAAGCATGCATATTTCCAACTCCAAGAATTTCATAACTGATCCACTTATATGAAAATTTGTAACAGAAACGCAGACGCGCACACACACACCCAAATGGAGAAATGATAAGTGGAGAAAGTAATACCTTAAATTAAAGAAATTATCGGGATCTCTGGATGCTTGTTCTTTTGAGAACTGCAAATTGAGTAGAAAATTTTCAAATATTGAAACCAGAACAAACAGAGGATTACTGATACAAATAATCACAAAGCAAAGACAAATTCAACAATAGGATCCTCCAATTTCCCTAAACGTAATCCTGCATATAGCATGTATATCTTCGTGAATTTTAAGCAGTAGAAGAGCGTCATACCTTTTCGCCGGCGATAGATTGAGAAACGATGCGAGCATGGTCCCACCGAGTGGTGGACTTGGTTAATCGCTTAACCAAAAGAGCACCTCCGATCAAAACCAGCGTCTTCACTACTAACCCTCGAGCTCTGCTCCACCCACTTGGTGGTCCCATACACATACCGTGTGTGTGGAAATTCTATATATTATATATGTATCTACTGAGCACTCAATCTAGGGCTCAATTCGATGCAGAAAGAAACTGTGGATAAAAAGGGGGATTGAAATCCAATGTGGAAAAGGAGCCAAGCCAAGCCAGGGTTTCTTAGGGACAGATTTTTGAATGGATTGCAAGTGTAATTTCCAGATAACCTCCATGATATCAGTCTTTTATCGTTTCACCGATTCCGTTAGATTTGATTTGGTTGGGTCAAGATAGAGAGGGTGGTTCGGGTAATTTCAGAAGTCATTATTGGATGTTAGTTAATTAATTTGGGTAATTAGTTATTATACAGTATAATAAAATAGGTTGCTAATACTTAATAATAAGAGCTATTTACAAAAATGAACATTATTGTTCTATTCTTATTCTTTATACTCATATTTTTCTAAAATACAAAGACCCTCAATACTACAATAAACGGTAAATGCTAATGCAAACTTAGGATTGTTGATTCCAAGATCCTCCTTTTAGAACAATATATAATACATATACTTCACTTCAACGGTAAGAACAAAGGAACCATATCATAAAAAATTGGTAATTAATCTCAATACTATCAGGTGTTGTTATCTCTCTTTATTTGGTAATTAATCTCAATAGTATCATGTGTTGTTATCTCTCTTTATTGTTGAATGTTCGAATACTATCATGAATATAAGTGGTAGGTTATGAGTAGATTATATTTGTTGTTAAAAAAAATACAATTTTCTTATTGTAGAATAAACTTTTGGTATTTCTTTCTTGAAAATGAAGAATCAAGTTTTGTGAATTTATGAATCATGCGTAAGAATATAAACCAAACTCGCCATTAGTTACAATGTTTGTATTTGGTCACAATTATCAAATACTTATATTCTTCATTCCAAGAGTTATAAGTGCCACAATTGGCAATGAGACCGATCAATATTGTTGAAAGCATTGTCACTTGCTTAATTTCTTGATTTAATCATCTTTGAGATAGTTGCATTCATTAGTATCCGAGTGTTGAACGATTTGTAATCACAACAATATGAGAATTATGCAAGTTATAACATTCGGCTTTTACCAGTTCAATTAGCTCTTTTGAGCCTTTAGCTTTTACGAGGTTTTAACTTTTAGATTTTATATACTTTTACAACTATCAAAAGTTTAAAACTACTTTTGCTGAACGATCCTATACAAACAGGAATTATGCAAGTTATAACATCCGGCTGCCAACTAGTTTTGCGAACACATCCTTTGTAAAGATACTTTTTCTCCAAAATGGTGAAGAATGGAGTTGCAATCGATACCTTTTAACACAACTGAATGCAATTACATCGGAAACAGTTCTTAAAAGATTAACTCTTAACATATAATTACATAACTTTGCTAAAACTTGGGTGCTTATACAATAACACAAAGAAAACTTAATGAAAATCTCTAAAAATGAGAGTAAATACGTCTCTCAATGTAATTAACCCTAACACACGTTGGGTGGCAGCTTCAACTACCACAACACGCCTCACCCCTGTAGCAAACATGAGAACGTTCATTGATTTATTATAACATCCAAATATAGGTTATGATCTGGGGAATATATACCTGGATTTGAAAGAAGTGTTATGACCTGATACAAAGTATCAGAACGTGTACATATCCCAAATCTAGGATGACCTTTTTTATCTACCAGTTGAAGTGCCTGAATTATATAATCAAAATCAGGCTTTGTATAATCTGTTTTGATATTCAAAAGACAAAAATGACCAAAAACAATGTTTTTCTCTATTAAAAATATGTTGTTAAAGAAGAGCATATACTTGAGATATAGTTGCATGATCAACCTAGATACGAGCGTATACATTGCCTTTTGCAAACGAGATGATGTCACTGATTAAATACAAGTTTCAATCAAAATAAACTCTTGTGGATAAATGAAGAAATTTTAATCAATTGTACAAAGTGCATAAATATTACCTTCTCGAGAAAATGTTTACAAGGGCTCCTTTATTATCAACAACAGGCACTGAACTTATATGTTCTGAAGAATATTAGACGAGAAAAAATGATATATTTGATTAAATACACCCATAAAAAATGTAAGTATGGAAAACCATGAATTTAAACACACCATCTAATAATAATTTGAAAGCATAACTAAGAAGCTGAGTGATGTGTATATTTAATGCACTAGTTTTTTTTATTAAGAATTCATAATTTATCGCATCTAAACCACACCTTACAGGCAGTGAACCCGATCGAGTATAGTATAGCTTTGATAAACAAGGGTGTCGATCACAGGGAACGGTGGATTAATTTAATATATTTGATTATAAGTTACAGGTCACACGAAAAGAATAAAAAAAATAGTTTAATAAATCTCAAACTAATAATTAATTAACAACTCTCGATAAACTAATAGGAAAACAAATCTCTTCAGGTACTTTGGTTTAGACAAGTTACACCTTAAAAATATAGACAATTGCATACACAAAGTCATTTATTCATGTTCACCGATTCCTAAAATGATTAGATTCGCGTTCACTATAACTAATCCTTTAGCAAACAAGTCAATTCAAACAATGATCGATTGGTTAAACTAACATGCTTCCTAGTGTTCAGTTCGTATCAAGCAAGACTTGCAAATATAGTTAATCAAATTAGGCATTCAATTAACATCTTGTTGATGGTCATCAAACAAGGCTCACACATTAACTTACTTATTCCCAAGTTAATCCTAGTTTCACATTCGTTATTCCTAGACTTATAATCTCGATGGTCACCAAAATCATAAGAGACAAGCAATCAAGCATATGTTCATACAACTCAATTCACTTAACAATTAACAGCAAATAATTATCATTAATACGTAAGGATCTTTTAACAAGCTTGGCAAGATAAATTAAACACAAACAAACTATTCAATATAGCAATTAGTCTAATAATCAAAGCTTCATTCAATCATAAACACAAAGTAAAAGGTTTTTACACCTAAATCAGAAACTAAATACATAATAGCAACACAATGGAATGCTAAACATGGTCACGTTAACAACCCATATGATTACCGACATGTATCCGCTCTCCAACCCTTCCGATCTCCGCTTCCGTTAGCTTAACGGCCTTCCGGCCGCCTCCTAAACATGGTCACGTTAACTATGAAGTTTTCTTGTTGCACAAGTCGAAGTGGAATATCATAGATTATTCAAATTGGTGGAATGATATGGGGTATTTATAGTTGATGGAGATGGAATTATATGGAATATTAGAGTTGGATTGGAATAAGGAAACTAATGTGGCTTAGGGATTAAGCAAATAAAGATAAGGAAAGTGGTGCTTGGGGAATAAGTAACTTGGAGGGAATTTCCGTCCAGCTTTTATGCTTCATCTTCAAGGCCGATTTTGGATAAGATAAGTGTCGAATTAGCCAAAAGTGCATCTCACATAAGTCGTAGGAAATTTCGTCTAGTTTTCAGAAAAGTTTGAACCTCGTCAATTGGACTTATGAGTCATCAGATATACCCGAAACATTGAAGAGGGGTCAATCTGCCAGCAATATCTTTTTTGCATCTTTTCAGCTCCATTATCTTTCTTTTGCATTCCATCTCCCATTTTAACTGTAATTAAATATTTCAAAGTATATTAAGTATATTTTAGTTCTAAATAATAATAATAATAAAGGCTAAAATATTAAGATATGTTATACATAAATATATATAAAAATACACATATCACTGAGTGGCAAGCAAAGTTAATAATTCGCGTCCCCCAATATCTCTTGTCCAACTACCAACTGGAAGACAACCGATTGGTTGTTGCAAAAGAGGCAAATACCCGATACGCTATTCAAAATGCCTTTGTATATCTATGTTTTCACAATGGAGACAAAACTTTGAATATTTGGAAATTAAAAAATTTTGACTTTTGAAAAAAAAAAATAATAAATACTATTACTCAAACCCTACGTTTTAGGATCCCACCAAGGCATGCAACGTGCAACAATTGTGGGCAAGCTGTATCTTGTGCCATATTTAGGACAGGAACAGATGATATGCGATTGTGCATGATTTTAACTGCAACTGCATTCAGGGTCTCATCCGGGTCAACCTGTGTTTACAAAATCTAGTTTAATGGATTTTAATTTTAAACGGGGAAGGACTTAATCTGGTAATCTATATTATATGCTTGTTTCTTTTCGACTTAATGGGTAAAGCACTTGATGGAAAAAAAGGTCTTACTTTGATTAAAGGCCTTTTTTAAAGCTGAAGTTTTCCTTCCTTCCAAGCAGAGATTGATGATAACTCAAGCACATTATTTGCAACCATTGCATGGTTCCTCTGTAATTGCAAGATTATATAAGAGATTATCTTATGTTTGTAAAATGGTTTAGCCATTGGGCTGTATCCTACCTCCATTAAAATCAAAATAAAGTCTGTTGATGTTAGCATCCCTGAAATCTGGCGACTGGTGTCATCCTAAAGGGGAGCAACAGCAAGACCCTGAACCAAGAAATAAAAATGATAAATTATATGCAGAGAATCAGTAAACTAAAATCTTAAACTTGAAAGTGAAAATGAGAAATAAGTTAAATAACAAGTTGTACCTCTTCATGCATAACAAGGAAAGCCTCTTCCACACTCACATTAGCATCCAATGCAAAGACCTTTGAAAGTCAAAGAAGAATCACAATCAAATGGAAAAAGTGTAAATGCAAACAGACATGTGAAAGAAGGCATTCGAACCTTGCCTGAATCCGGAATCAAATCATACACTGTGTAAGATGAAAGATGATCAGACAAACGATGGTGGGTTGCCTCTATGTCTTCAGCCCTTAATGGCATCACAAGTTCATGAGGAGGAACACTGATTGATGTTGAAGCCTAAATTGTTATATGATTTGTTAGGGTTTAGGAGACTTTGAAAAACGATAACACGATTTCACAGACATGTAATAAAAGAGTGAGAACACAATACATGGGTGCTTACATCATCAGCGGGATTATGATCATCCAAACTATCAATATCCATAATTGGTACCCCATCATCAATGATCAATGTATGAGGCATAACCTCTGGTTGTTTGACCACAACAATGTTGTTTACTCCATACTCATCTTCAGCAAACAGTTGTTGCTCGTTGATTCTCCATATGCCATCCACCAAGAATTTATACTTCATTCAACATTTTATTAAGAAAATAAGAAAAAGTTCAAAAAAAAAAACAACAACGTATTATGCCATGATGCTTAAAAAAACCATTATATTATTTTTGTTCATAAAAAACATTATATTTTCTGATTTTGTTTAAATTAATGTTTTGCAACCGGATTACTCAAGAAAACCGGTTGCATGGCCTATGTGTAACTAAAAAGAAAGATTATAATATTACATAACATTATTAATTACCAGAAACTGTAATTGTTGATTGCTACTATTAATACATTGGTTTATCTGAACTTTTCTCTAAAAAAATACAATTTAACATGCACTAATGTCAAGAAACTCTCTAACCTGATCATACCTTATGCAAACCAGGTGGTAGATCGCAAATCGTCGAGAAAGTCGAAGACAATCCTTCAACAGGAACCATCGGTTGATACTTGATCCACCTTCACTCACCACCAATTGCATTGCAATTTAGTGTGTTGCAACAAAATTATCAAAAGAAAAACTAAAAATTAATAACATACCCAGTAAAATCACCGCACAGGAACACTTGATTGCCACCATGAGACCAAATAAACTGTGTATGAACCATTCTTCCGCAAAATTTACCTCACTCTAACTCTGTAAACATATGCTTTGGTGTATGAGAATATCAATTGATCAACTGAGTTTACAAAACACATATCGAAAAACTGAATACCGAAAGGAACCAATAAGAGAAAAATAAAACTGGGGAAGAAATAAGGGTTCAAAAAAAACCAAATCCTTATGTAGATCCTGGCGGCAAAACTTAAAGATATACATTACATGCATATACATAGAATTGTTGTGCGTATCTATATCTGTAGGTAGAAATTAGGGGAGAGCGACTCAAGTAAGAACATAATCGCTTGGATTTCTCAGAGCCGTAGAAAACAGCTGCCGAGAAACAGTACATAAATTCGCATATGTATATGCTATTAAAAAAACATTATATATATATATATATATATATATATATATATAGAGAGAGAGAGAGAGAGAGAGTAAATTAAACTTTTAGACCCTATGGTATATATCTTTCTCCAGGTTTGGTCATTATTTTGGATATCTAACATCACTGGTCCTCGTGGGTTCAAAGAAACCACGGTAACTAAGAAACACCATATGTTGGATCGTTTTAAGTGAAAGACTTCCCAGTGTGGTTCCTTATTACTGCACTATCTTTCCTTTTTTATTCTTTTTTGGTTTTTATAATATAGTAGGCGAATACCCGCGTGTTGCGCATAAATACTTATATAGTTGGAGTCTTTACACATATATGATTTTTTAAATATAACAATAACGTTGTTGTTAAATTTGATATATGTATATACTAAATTGATATAATATATTGATTGTTTTGAATTACATGATAATATATAAATCTATTATAACGTCATAATCTCAATCGTTTGAATAATTTCTACTCGCGAGTTACACATCAATAAAATTAAATATTATATATGGTTTAATATTATTTATAGTTGTTATTTTTAACTAATTTTTTAAAATTTATTTTCTTAATGTTTTAATTTCTATCATTATAATTATTTAAAACATCAAACATTATTTTTTGATTTTAAAGGTAACAATATAATCATTTATATAGATTTATTTTTAACTACTGTTATTATAAGTTATTTTAAGCTACTTATTTGAAATTTTTTAACGATTATATAAATATATTTATGAAATATTTTAGTTAAATTGATATTACAATTTATTTTTTCCATTTATCACTTTTAAAAATTTACAAAATATTATTTGGTTTTTTTAGTGGAACTGAAATTTATATTTAAGCTGACATTGTAATATTATATTTAAATTAACAGTTTAAGTATTTTGTTCAAACTGTTCAAAAATTGTAGCTTTAAACTGATAATGGTTTATATGCAACAACATTTTAAATCTAATAAATTAAGTATAATATGTTAAAATTTAAAGACATAACTTTATAAATAGAAGTAAAGATATTATTTTAAAATTGAAATTTAGTCTATTTATGATTACACTTTAGGTTTGATATTTATTTAACCTTATTAACCAACTTACAATCATTATTAGAAAGACACTACAATTTATTACTTTTAACTATTTATAAAATAATCTTTGGGTTGTTTAAGTTAAATAAAATTTATATTTAAGTTGAGATAATAATGTTATATTTTAATTAATAATTTAAGTATTTTATATAAATTGTTTAAAAATTATACCTTTAAAATGATAATGGTTTACATCCAACAATATATTAAAACTAATAAATTAAGTATAATATGTTAAAAGTTAAAAAACATAATTTTATAAGTAGAATTAAAGATATTATTTTAATATTGAAATTTAGTTTATATATGAATACACTTTAGATTTGATATTTATTTAACCTAATTACCAAATTATAATTATTATTATAAAGAAATTGAAAAGGCATGGGAGTTTCAAATGAATGTGGTGAAAGGAAAAAGAATTAGGGTTTCAAATGCATGAGATTCAAGAAAAAATGTTAGCTTTACAAGAATGTATGATAATTAAATTATATATATATATATATATATATATATATATATATATATATATATATAGAGAGAGAGAGAGAGAGAGAGAGAGGGAGAGACAGAGAGAGGGTGAGGTTCAATAGAAAACTCTAATTAACAAGGAACCAAGAAACCAATCGTAGGCGTCGAAATTATAATGATCAACGGTAAAGGAAAATAGATGTATACTTTTATATTAGACGCACACACACAATATTATATCAAAAAATACACCTCTTTACCAAAAAAAACTCACCTCTTTTTTTCGTTTGAAAATTTTTTTAGGCCATATTTTTTATCAAAAAAAATCGAATATACCGTTATTCTCGATTTTTCGTCATCTTTCCATAGAAATCAATGTTGATATATAAAAAACGATTTTTTTTTGAAAAAAAATTCACTTCATTTTGTTAGTTTTTTCAATATTTAAGTTTATTTTTATCAAAAAAAAAAAAAAAAAAAAAAAAAAAAACTCAAATAGTATAGATTCACACTGTGAATCTAAACTGTAAATATTTCAATTTTCAACATTCACAATGTGAGAAAGCTCGATCATTTCAAATTCATACTGTGAATCTTACTTATTATTATGCACACTGTGAATCTGAAAAAGTTCACAATGTGAATCTGAACAGGTTCACAATATGAATCAGAACTGAAATAATATTTTCTTACATGAATATAAATCTATGTTTAAAAAGTACAGAAAAACATGAATTTTAATATATTTATTAATTTTTTATAAAAAAAAATAGGCATTAACTTTTCAACAAAGAAAATGAAGTGGATTTTTTTTCGAAAATAAAAGTCGGTTTTTATATATCATCATGGATCTCTTTGGAAAGATGATGAAAAATCATGAACAACGGTATACTCGTTTTTTTTCGATAAAAAACATGGCCTAAAAAAATTTTAAACGAAAAAAAAAGAAGTGGGTTTTGAAATAATCCGGTGCATGTGTGTCTATTTTAAAAGTTTACAACTCTTCATTTTGCCGTTGATCACTTTAAATTTCGATATTTTGGATTGGTTCCGTGGTTCCTCGGTTAATAATGGTTCTTTTTTGAACTTTTATATATATATATATATATATATATATATATATATATATATATATATATATATATATATATATATATATATATATATACTAACAAGTTATCTAAAACATATTAAAATGTATGGGTCTTTTTGGTAAATGAAGAAGCATCATCTCCATTAAAATTGTATTAATTAAAAATAAATAAATACAATTATCCCCATTAATGAAAAAGAAAATGACCATCGGGACTGTTGAAAATTACAGAGGAAATGTTGCAAGTTGATAAGTTTTCTCTATCCCACATAGGTGGGGGAGAAACTTTTACTAGGTTTATAAGCTTATTTCCTTGATAGGTCTCCAAAGGCTTTAGTGGATCAAATGAATGTGCCAAGCCCACCCACGTGCCTAGCTTAGCCTAGCTGATGTCGAAGTCGTGAGTGCGCGATTGTGACACCCTGGTATGTGATTCTAATTTTTTTTTTATTTTTATAAAGGCTACTCAACGAGTCCATCAACTATCAAGCCTCCCTTGTGGACTCAAAGGAATACAAAGGTTGTTAATATTTTACCCCCTATATGATTGTTTTTTTGTTTCTAGTCTTTGCAAGTAGATCCTTTGATGGGTATAAATCTAGTTTTATGTTGTTCAAATTTTAAAGTCTTCCGTTGCTAATCTTGTGTTTTATAAACAATTTTTCAGTAAAAACCCAAAAATTTTCCATATTGTATTTCACCTTGGGAATCATATACAAAACTTATGCAAAGCTTTTAAACACTCTTAATAACATACAAATCGAGATATAGGTCGGTTAACTTAAGCAATCCAATCAAACTAACAATTTCACCATTGAAGCTCAAAAAATACATTAAAGGTATAAATCATTACCTTTAGAGGGAAATGATTTCAATCCTTTCAATCCTCCGTCTATAGCTCATATTATCTCCTTCTTGGCCACAAAATTTCCATCTACCAGCTCTCCAACGATGAGGGGGGGGGGGGGGGATTGTCTCGAAAATGAACCCTAAGATTTTTTTTCCTTGTTTCCAGACTACGAAACCACGCCATGGTAATCTGTCTACCATGCCATGGTGCGTATAATTAGGTTGCGATCTCCCTCTAACCGAGCTGCAATGCCTTTCCCTTATAGCATCCTACGTTTACCACTACGTCGCGACCTGCGGTAACCCATATTACCACGCTACAGTACAAAGTACATTGCCCTATACTTACAACGAAAACTTTGTCCATTTTACTATTTTGAAAACCATACTGTGGTAAAGCCCTTATTGCACCGTGGTGCATGCACTTCAGCAGGCCCTTAGTTGATTCCATGCATGTTTTAGGATAATTTTTCTTCTAACTTCAAACACTCATAACTTCTTCATTTTAAACCCAATTTCAATGATCTTTATATCCACACGAAGATATGGATGAGTTATACAACTCCATTAAGTCACTTTGGACTGAATACTTACGCGTCCTAATCTATTAAGTCACAAACTTGGCCCAAAAAGCATAAAATTCCCATTTGACCATTTATGGCCTAAATACCGAATCTCTTGCATTTATTCTCTTGAATCCGCTTATCTTATCTTATAAAATTCACTTAGACTTATCGTGATTCATTCCATGAAGGTACATCTTCTCAATTCATGAAATTCCTCTAAATGACCAAATTTCTCTTGTTTCCAGACTACGAAACCACGCCATGGTAATCTGTCTACCATGCCATGGTGCGTATAATTAGGTTGCGATCTCCCTCTAACCGAGCTGCAATGCCTTTCCCTTATAGCATCCTACGTTTACCACTACGTCGCGACCTGCGGTAACCCATATTACCACGCTACAGTACAAAGTACATTGCCCTATACTTACAACGAAAACTTTGTCCATTTTACTATTTTGAAAACCATACTGTGGTAAAGCCCTTATTGCACCGTGGTGCATGCACTTCAGCAGGCCCTTAGTTGATTCCATGCATGTTTTAGGATAATTTT